TTGGCGAGCGCTGCCATGTGTGCACGGACGTTGGTGGCCACGACCTCGTCCTCGCTGTGTCGCGCAAAAAATGCAACGACGACGGGCAGCCAAGGCCGATGCGACGCTGCGCACGCCAGCTTGCACACGTGTTGTCACCTTGTCCAGCCAGCAAAGGGCATCGCTGATCTTGACCGTCTTCGAGAGCGCCAGTACAAACGTGGCTTTGTGAGCCACCGTGATGTAGGCATTTCGGTAGGCGTCTTCCAGAGTAGACTACGACGTCGAAATGAGTACCATGATACCGTAGTCGACGGATGTCGTACCCGAAGAAGTCGCCGACGTCGTTCCTGGTAGGAGCGCAGGTCGCGGCGTCCCAATGGCGCACGTCGTACAGCTCCTGGACGACGTTGACCGGCACGCTCGGGGACTTGCGCTTCACGAGAGGCGTCAAGAAGCCGTCCACCATGCGCTTGCGGGCGCCGAGGCACTGACATTGCAGCGCACACCTACACACCGCTCGTCAACGACGCAAATACAAGCCTGTGGACGTACGCGCATGTCTTGCTCGAGCGACCCGTGCCGCCGAGAACGGCCATGCAGAGACCCAACGCGAGAAAGCACGTGGCCCAGCGCTGCAGTTGCCACATGTTGGAGGTTGGGCCCGCTAGACGGCGCCAAGTCGGTCAATGCGAGCGCCAGAACGACCAGAGAAGTGGGCGCCGCATCCGAAGCACTTGGGAGCGCAGAGCAGCCTTTGGCGTGGCCTTGTTTGTCCGCGCGACGATCGCCGTCAGTGCGTCGAGGGCCGCATCGCGGGTGGCCGGCGTCGTGGACACACTGCTGGAGGCCACGTCGTCGAGCTGGGCCGACCGCATGCGAGCCCGACGAGCAGCACCCCACAAAGCTTGTGGTTGCGGTTGCGGCGCTGCATCCACGTCCAAGCGGCGGCCGACGTCTGAACCAGGACCCCGTTGAAGCGCGGGCTGCCGTCGGAAATGGCGTGGTGGCGCGTGCTCTTGCCCGCCGACGCTTGCTCGCCCGAGAGACAAAACCAATGCCGATGTTGGTCTTGTGCATCCTTGAGCGTTCGGGCTTGGTGTTGGGGTGAGCCTAGACAACCCTAATCATCAGCCATCGGTGCACCCACAAACGCCTACCAAAAAATGCCCATCGGGAGGTAGCCCGTGGAAAACCCAGTGCGAAACGTCGAGACGCGCTGGTCGGTGCGGTGGCGGCCGCGCACGACGAGATCGC